AAAAGAGCACTTTGCGATGGTGTATGTTAGATTTCGATAAAAAAATCACTGTGGTACTGGTACACGTTCAAACAGTCATTTTTTTTCAGTAATTTTTAGGGTCACGCTCAAATACTACTGGTAACTCAATATTAACTCAAATCTTATCTTAATTTATATGGATTTAAAGAAAAAAAAATTTCCAAGAAATTAAAAAAAAAAGCGTGTCGATACGATAAATGTAGCCCAAGATAAAAGCATTTGAAAATCGACAAAATTTCGATGAATTTTTTTGTTGCGATAATTTTGTTGCCGAGTGTAGTACACGACGGTCGTAAAGATGTTGCATGTGAACAGTGTGAGAAGACATTTGGACACAAATGGATTATGATACAGCATATAAAGACAGTGCACGAAGGTCTGAAAGATTACGCATGCAACTATTGCGAGAAAAAATTTGGACTAAAATCGAATTTGCATTTGCACCAAAAGACAATCCATGAAGGTCAGAAAGATTTCGCATGTGACAAGTGCGAAAAAAAATTCAGACAAAAGTCACATTTTTTTTGGCATCGAAAGATAGTACACGACGGTCGTAAAGATTTTGCATGTGACAAATGCGACAAGAAATTCGGGGAACGAGGGACTTTGATCAAACATCAAGAAGCAGTACACGAAGGTCTCAAAAATTACGCATGTGACAGATGCGAGAAAAAATTTGGAACTACATCAAATTTTTTGAGGCATCGTAGGACAATACACAACGGTCCCAAAGATTACGTATGTGACGATTGCGATTGGACAAAAATCAGATTTGTTGAAGCACCACAAAATAATTCACGTGTATCGCAAAGATTATGCATGCAATTAATGCGAGAAGAAATTTGGAAGTAAAGCTCATTTGTTCAGACATCAAAAAATAGTCCACGAAAGCCGCAAAGATAACGCATGCGACAAGTGCGAAAAGGTATTTGGACAAAAGTTACATTTGCTTTTGCATCAAAAGACAATTCCACGAAGAAATGATGATTGATTATTATTGTAAATATGAGTAGATACTCATGTTTTTCTTCCAATAAAAATTGTACTGAAATGAACCTCGGACGTTAATGAATTTTTATTTAAATATTTGGTCTTGCAGCTCTTGTACGCAACGATCAACCGAGAGTTTTTTTCATGTCTTGCTTCGGAATTGTGAATGGGGCAAACATTCAGTTAGCTACTGGATTTTCAATAAATCTTACGAAATCGCAACCTCGAATTGGTCCAAAATGCGTTAGTGAAAGATTGAAATAAACTTGCTGACAAACAGGTTATTTTTGATACAAGAGTCGTGATCGTTAACTACAATATGTTCTATCTGAAAAAACCAACGTAAAACCATATACATATTAATTTAATGCAAACCATACAATGTTTTCTAAATTTTTTTAAAAATTAATAAACGTTCTCAAATTTTTTGTGGGGTGGCCCTCTTCCAGATCCGCTACCGGTTATTTGCCTAGCATCGTTGCAGCAGCAGCAGCAGCAGTAGTAACAGTATTAGGTGCAAGTCAACGCAGCCACTGAGTCTCATTAGCGCTTACGTTCGAGTCATAATATTGTTCGATTTTGTGTACATATGAGTGTTCGTTGATCCGCAGAGAATTAAAAATGATTCGATCGTCTCGAATAGAATGAATACGTAGACACGAAGTGTCCGCATCGGGCATCAGTTGTACGAACAAAGAGCAGTAGTCGTCGAACGGCAGCTGGTCTGTTTCGAAAATTTCGAACACATTACACAGTAAAGCCCGAAGTGCACGAAGAAGCGGCCTTATCGTGGCGAAAAAAGTGCCGAACGCCTGTAACAGCGGCATCACGTCTGACACAACGATGTTGAGGTAACGCCTCGCATTTTTTTTTCAAGCAATTACACTCGGTGCGGGACGCGTAGGTACGTATTATAAAAGTTACTTTTTCACGCGCCCCCAACTGGATTATAGTCCGAGTGTTACATTGATAGAGACGACGAGAACTGCTCAATAGTTCTCGTGTTATAACTATACGACATGTGTCCGTTAGGCGCTAGTCTCCGCCACCGCAGTCGTCGCTGCTGTTATGTATAAAAGTTTGCTCGCGCTCGGGGCAGCAGTCACATCGCGCGGGCAGCGACCAAGTAACGACTCAGCGATGACGGCGGAACAGCAGCAGCAGAAAATTGAACGTTACGCGACTCGCCGTTTTCTTTTCTTTTTTTTCTTCTCTTTTTTTTTCGCTTCCATGAGTGCAATCGCAGTCGTATTGATTTCGCCGAGTCAACGATCGACTTCGGGCCGCGGGGCGAACTTACTGTATATCAAAGCCGGAGCGATGAATAATGAAAAATCAGGTAGCCAGAATAAGGAATTGATGAATTCCCTCGGTGAAACGGCCATACTGTATACACGCAGATACACATACACCATAACATAAGACATAACACACATCGTACGTACCCGTTCCCTTGGCACTTTGTTCTCGTGCGAGCGTCAAAAGAATAGTCTCTTCTCTCTCTTTTAAAAATGTGATGGTTTGATCGTGCCGTCGCAGAAAACTTGTTGCGACCGAGATTCAGAGTTGAGTTATAGTTTTGGAAATAGGAACCAGTGTAATGTTCTTTACACATGCGGATGTATACTTGAGTCGAACGATGACTGTCTTTCCATAACGATAGTGTCTTTCCATTATTTCATACAAGATTACTTTGCGTTGACGTTGCGACTCGAAAGGTTCAACTGATAATTAGGATGTTGAAACATCGGTCCAAGAGCAATACTTTAAATAACGAGTTTAAGATAAGAGATTATTAATATTTTTCTTAATGTATAAAAAGTGAGCCTACGGGTGTTTACAATAACGACAAAATGAATAAAAATTTGAATTATTTTATTATTTTTCACAAAGTTAAAGAATATTTACGTGAAAGTTTTTCTAAAATTACAAGTAGCGTAAAAAGTCTATCATATTTGAATGTCTAGAAAGAAATCTTAAACTGCCAGGGTTCGCTCTAATTATGTATCCTCGTTGTGTGTTTATTGAGGTTGCCTTTTTGTCTAAATGATTTGCGACATATTTAACATTCAAAGGGTTTGTTACGATTATGAACTGCAATTATGTGAGATTTGAGGTTTCCTTTTAGTCCAAATGATTTGTGACAAATATCACATTGAAAAGGTTTGCTACGAACATGTACCGTTTTTATATGCACGTTGAGGGTACCTTTTTGTCCAAATGATTTGTGACAAATCTCACATTCAAAGGGTTTGCTACGATTATGAACTGTATTTATGTGAATTTCGAGGTTAATTAAGTGTCCAAATGATTTGTGACAAATGTCACATTCAAAGGGTTTGATACGATCGTGAACTGCATTTATATGGATTTTGAGACGACTTTTATATAAAAATGATTTGTGGCAAATCTCACATTCGAAGGGTTTCCTACGATTGTGTACTGTATTTAAGTGTATTTTGAGGGTACTCTTGTGTCCAAATGATTTGTGACAAATATCACATTCAAAGGATTTATTACGATTATGAACTGCATTTATGTGAACACTGAGGTTGCCTTTTTGTCCAAATGATTTGTGACAAGTTTCGCATTCGAAGGGTTTAATACGATCATGTACTGCATTTATGTGAATTTTGAGGCCACTTTTAAACACAAATGATTTGTGACAAGTCTCACATTCGAAAGGTTTGCTCTGATTATGTACTACATTTGTGTGTACGTTAAGATGACCCTTGGATCTAAATGATTTGTGGCAAATGCCACACTCGAACGGTTTTCTACGATTATGTACTGTATTTATGTGAGTTTTGAGGGTACTTTTGTGCCCAAATGAATGATGACAAGTTTTACACTCGAAGGACTTAGTATGATTGTGTACTGTAAAATCAATCAATAAATTTTCATTTGTATCATTGGTCTGATTTTCGTTTTCTACTTTCACAATAGATAGGCAACTATGATACTCGGCTTGACAGATAGTTGTCGATAGAGACATCGGTGCAGGTTTAACATCTTTGCACTCAAAATCTATGAATATTTCTTCATCTACCTTTCCCTTCAATGCCATAACCTCATTCTTGTCGTTTTTCTAAAATTAAAATTGTGTGATAAGTTTTAATAGCAGAAAACTAAAACATAATTCCAAATATTAAACTTACAGTTGATTTTTTGGCTTCGGTAAAAACTGCCGAATCGATATTGTAATCTTCACCTGCATCTGGGCACGTATCATTCAGTTCTTCTTTCACTCTGAAGAATAATCAAATATAATGAAGGGATTGCTTGGAAAAATATCATAGCGTACACAAAAAATGTTATACCTGACTTTGTCCTCTCGGTTTTCCATCATTCTCTCGATTGTAATAACTTTGACTTTTGAGAAAATACTAAGTGTACACTTAGAAAAAATTTTCGAGGTTATGTACCTCGAGTATAGCAAAGAACTCTACACCTCGATTTCACCTATTTGAAAACAAGCACTATACTCGTATATTAGCGGAGTGTATTCGCGATTGTGATAGCTCCTTGGCGATACTTTCCCCTTCCATTGCCGATTGGCCAGTTAGGTATGTACTGCGATACATTATAGAGGCGCTCCTATGTCGTTAAAACTACACCGAAATTGCAAGGAAAAAGTCATTCATCCAGGCGTACAATTTTTTTACACAAACGTGCACCATATGCGGAGAAATATCTATTATCTCTAAATTAATCATGTTATATTGGGAATAAAGTTGAACTAGTTATTAGAGTTGTGAATGCGATGAAATAACAACGGTATAAGTCTAGTCGATAATTTAAAAAAACACTAGTCGATTTTTCGTTTTACAGTTGTATTTTTTATTTTCTTTATTCTTTTACTCTTGAAAAAGTTATGGCTTGATTGTATCATCGAAAAGAACGCACTTCGATTGGTCGTTAGATTTTTCTTACGTGTTTTGTGAGCTTTTAAATTAATAATAATAAGGTTGAGCACGGGTACGGTCACTGCGTGCAATCAAAGATGCCAGTGAAATATGTAACAGAAGCAGCGGATGGTATAAGAGATGAAAAAATATCCAAGTTCTGTATGTACTGCAGTGGTGTGTGCTGCTGCAGAGAGAGAGAGAGAGAGTCTCCAGTCACCACCGCTGCACACGTTTCTGCCGCATTGTCCCATCGAATGGACAACTTTCCACGACTCGCGACGTTTTTTCACTTATTTTTGCGCGCTCGCGAAAATTATTTCGGACGGCTGGCCGGCCACGGTCGGTATACTATTTGTTGCTGCGCGTTTCTGTGCAGCTCGTCGTCGTCCATCATCGCGCGCGCGAGACTCCTGCCGGAAATCGAGGAGCGCGCTCGCGCTCGCTCTGGCAAGTATGGCAGAAAGAGCTGCGGCGTACACGCTCCTCATATACATCGCACTGGCGTTTTGAGCTGCCCGCGAAAACTCTTTTTCACTCTCATTTGAATTTGATAACAGATATCTTAATTCTGTAAAGTGCTATGGAATCCTGGATAAAAATGCAATCCAACGATGTATATAACATACCGAAAAAAGTTTATTTTCAACGAAATACGAGCGATTGAAAGAAAAATCCACTTCGCAAAAAACGTTCTTACCAAAAAGTGGTCAACCCAAAATGAGTTTCAGACCATTTGCTGTGTTCACGTCATGCGCTTATACGTTGTTATTACGCCGTCGATGTATATGATGTATATACACACTTCGATCCTCGAATACACACACATACACATGAGGTTTTTTTTCTCGTGGAATATTATCGATCGATCGATTATTTCCGGTATACCCCGGTAGCCCACTCGAAGCTCTTGGTATGAATACCGACCCGGCGACGACTTTCTCCGAGGAAGTCGAACTGTTTTAGCTACTTCGTGCGCCCGGGTGGCCGACTAGGTGCACCAAGTATGAATATCGACCCGGCGACGACTTTCTCCGAGGAAGTCGAACTGTTGTAGCTACTTGGTGCACCCGGGTGGCCGACTAGGTGCACCAAGTATGAATATCGACCCGGCGACGAC